ATAAACCCGCGTAACTCGCGCGACCGGTTTCGCGTACTATCGGAGTCGTTTCCCGCAATTGTAGATCAGCAATTTAGTCACGAATACGAAGCATGAGAATGACTGTAAGCGTAATATCGGTATAAATTAGAAGAATGTAAGGGGCTTAACCCGCGCGATTGACCCAACTATACATCTAACGAATTGCGCAATTCGCGCGCAATCATTAAATAGAGCGACAATGTGTCATTACAGTTCGTAAATTACCGATATTAAATAATGTATCAAGTTTGATTGAAATCATCGAACTTTATCATTCTTTTCGGCAATATCGTACAGCGATGATACAGGGATTATATTTTGTGTAATGCTAACGAGGACTAACGCAATATCGCGCAACGGATAATTTGATGGCTTTGTGCAATGAATGTACAATAATGTTGATGGCAAAGGAGAACAACCCAGTTCTAGAAAACCTTGTTTTGTTTGCGCACGCAATTTACGTATGGAGCGAGTATAACCTACTATTATTATCGTGAGTAATAATAGCAATACAGCTGAACTGCAGCTGTTCGTCGATGTACGCATCTTGAAATGAAAATGTCGCAATGCAATTCTCATAAATTTGATGTAGAAATCGCGTTTGCCGAACCTCCCCTAAAAAAAACCTGCTTTACATATCAATCAAAATGCCACGTGTGTGTCTAGAGATTACGCGCAAAATGATAATCTGTAAATTCTCGAAATTTTCGAATGCCGTATCGATCATTCGCGATATCTGTTAAACGTGTGATTGATAACAGCTGTCGTTTTGATGCGAATTTCTAGTATATTTTGACTGACACGCCGACACAGAAAGGCAAGTAATTAATTACATAGAACGACAGCGGGTGAATGAGATTGGAGGGTGAATCAGATTTTAAATAAAACTCGTTCACTGACTCATCTCGTCTATTAATTGTTTTGCGATTATCTAAAAACACACTTTTATCATGAGTCCTTTTCTGGAATTCAAATCTTGACTTTAATTTATTTTATCACGCAGTCCAATAAATTCGCGCACCGTAATCATTTGTAGTGGAAATTGAATAAAATTATTACATAATTATGTTATTTTAATACATAAATATATTAAATATTATAAGTATCGTTAATTTTTAATAGCAGAAATTATTCAATAATTTTTTGCGAAAAAAAACTTGACTATATTTTCTCATTAGAATAAAAATCATAATGTCGGAACTACGTGATGCGATACACAATGCATGAGACAACGCATGAGTTCTCCGTTAGACTACGGTTTAGGTTTCTGTACGAGATGTGTGTGTGTGTGTCATGTGTGCGTACGCGTATACATATATGCAGGACTGTCGTATCCGTGTTGCACAGGCCGATTTATTGATCACTCGCGTCGCACGCAATAACGACGAATATGCGTGTCTACTGTGTCGCAACCGTGCGACATCTAAAAGTTCCGTTCCATGATTTCATGTGTGCAGTTATCTCAGCTTTCGTATGAATGTAAAACAAAGAAGGTTGAATAATTATAGCAAGTAAAAGTAACTGACATTATTACAAGGATATATGAAATAACTAAAACAATTTTTTTTAACAATTACTTGATAATAAACGATTATAAAATACACATGGAATATTTAATTGCGATAATATATACGTAAATTAAACAATTTACGTGAATTTTGCCATTTCATGAAAAGAATGTAGGCATTTTATGAAGCCTATCAACTTGTAAAAATTTGATATTTTGT